CTAAAAAAGCTGAACTCGTAAAAACAAAATAGAATGAGATATCATCTCACACCAGTCAGAATGGCCATCATCAAAAAATCTAGAAACAATAAATGCTGGAGAGGGTGTGGAGAAAAGGGAACCCTCTTGCACTGCTGGTGGGAATGTGAATTGGTTCAGCCACTATGGAGAACAGTATGGAGGTTCCTTAAAAAACTACAAATAGAACTACCATATGACCCAGCAATCCCACTACTGGGCATATACCCTGAGAAAACCAAAATTCAAAAAGAGTCATGTACCAAAATGTTCATTGCAGCTCTATTTACAATAGCCCGGAGATGGAAACAACCTAAGTGTCCATCAACAGATGAATGGATAAAGAAGATGTGGCACATATATACAATGGAATATTACTCAGCCATAAAAAGAAACGAAATTGAGCTATTTGTAATGAGGTGGATAGACCTAGAGTCTGTCATACGGAGTGAAGTAAGTCAGAAAGAAAAAGACAAATACCGTATGCTAACACATATATATGGAATTTAAGAAAAAAAAATTGTCATGAAGAACCTAGGGGTAAGACAGGAATAAAGACGCAGACCTACTGGAGAACGGACTTGAGGATATGGGGAGGGGGAAGGGTGAGCTGTGACAGGGCAGGGGAGAGTCATGGACATATACACACTAACAAACGTAGTAAGGTAGATAGCTAGTGGGAAGCAGCCGCATGGCACAGGGATATTGGCTCAGTGCTTTGTGACAGCCTGGAGGGGTGGGATAGGGAGGGTGGGAGGGAGGGAGACGCAAGAGGAAAGACATATGGGAACATATGTATATGTATAACTGATTCACTTTGTTATAAAGCAGAAACTAACACATCATTGTAAAGCAATTATACCCCAATAAAGATGTTAAAAATAAATAAATTTAAAAAATTAAAAACAAAAAAAACAGAATAGAACGGTGGTTACCAGGGGCTGGGAGGTGGGGGAATTATGGAGATGTCATTTAAGGCTACAAACTTGCAACCAATAAATAAGTATTAGAGATCTAATGCACAGCATAGAGATTATAATCAACAGTACTGTATTATAAACTTCAAAGTTGCTAAGAGAATAGATCTTAATTGTTCCCACCACAAAAAAGAATGTTAATTATGTGACGTGGTAGAGGGGTAGTTCATACTATGGTGGTAATCATTCTACTATATGTAAATGTATCAAATCAACGTGTTGTACACCTTAAAGCTGCACTTTATATCAATTATATCTGTGTAATAATACTAAAAGGAAAAAAAGGTTAGGACAGACAGAGACAATCTGGGCATGCAGATAATAACGCTCTCCAGTCTTCCAATACTGGGAATAGTCAATGAGATGTGTTGATTTTTTTTTTTGCCATCTAGGTGGCCAAAAATGGGAACAACTGAAGGATCACTCCAGCTGGCAGCACTAAAGGAACCTATCATCAGAGCCTTCCCATGAGAACATCGTAAGGAAATGTGAAAGTTATGACGTTGACCACATAAAATTAGAAATGTCTGGGCAGCATGAGATACATCTGTGTTCCTACAGTCACCTTAACAAATGCAACAAATCAGGGTTCCCGTTTCCAAAGGCCAGGAGCCTGCCATTTTTGTCTGGAATGCTGTCCCTTCAGGTGTGAAATCCTCTGGTCTTTTTACAGAGCAAGCGACATTTCAGAACTTGAAAGGTTCTGGCACCTTTCAGGGTCAACCAGACACACCCAGCTGACGCGCATTCCAGAAGACTGTAGTCAAGTTGTCCTTTTGCCTGAGCACAACCAAAAGAACAATTCCTGGCAACCAAAGACACAATGAATGTGACCCAGCTCTCCTTTTCTCCTTGGAGAAAAAAAAGAAAAGAACTGAATCTAGGCCAGTTAGTAACACAGTCCACTGGTTTGTGCCCAAGACGTTGAATCTGAGAGTAGCAGCCGTTTCCAAAAGATGATCTGTGCCCGGAGGAAACGCGTAACCTTTCTCCCAGTTTGTCTTTTAAGGTTCGATTACCTTGGAGTGACCTCTTTACACCGGCAGCAACGCCCCAAATTAGTCTCCATTCACAAAGTATCTCTGATGCAGCCTCCCTGGGAAAACTTAAAAGCCTATTTAACTAAAGGAGAGCTTGCTGCCAAGAAGTTGGCCTGGGAGAATGGCAGTAATTAAATGATGATAATATTTAGGTTCCTGCAGGTATGACAAAGGCCCCTTTCTTTGTCTCAGGTGGGGACAAGTTAACACATTGCCTCTGTCTGGGAAAGGATGTAGGCCAAAGAGGGGGGGAGTGTGAGAAAGAGGAACTGGGGAGAGCAGCGTGGCAGGGGAGGGGAGGCTGACTCCTGAGCCTGGAGGAGAGACAGATGCTGGGAGGGAGAGGAGTTTAATCTTAATATTCATCAGAGGTGGGCCCTGTGGCGTTTCAGCCTAAGATCTATTAGAACAGGTGAGAGATGAAACAAAGCCGTGCTTTTTGTTCATTGGCTGATTGTCTGTGGGAGGGAGGGCAGGGAGGGAGGCGGGGTTGGGGAGGAGCTAAAGGAAAGAAGAGGATAAAGAATTACCGTCGCTGGAAAGGTTTGCTTGGGTGAGTCTTGCACTGTACACTTGGCTGGAGAGGTGAAGATGCTAAAGGGCTCAGCAGAGCCGTACGTCACAGCCTCACAGCGGTGGGAAGATGGAAATTTAAGTCCTAACAACCAGCCTTTCCCCTCTCCAGTTGTGTGATCTCCTGCACATCGCTGAACAATCAACTCTACCTCCGGGAAGGGGAGCCGGCCCAGCTCCCCGCCCACCAGCCAGGCTCACTGACAGAGGGACGCCTGCCCACCCAGTCCACCTGGAGCCGGAGCGACTGTCACTGTCTGTGAGCTCCAGGGAGGACTTGTCTCCTGAATCGGGTGGCCCAGAGGTCGGTCTGATGGATGCATCCTGCTAATCTAATACATAAGTAAATTTGTGCCACTTCCTTCAGCTAAAGCAGTTTCACCTGTTCAGCCCACAAAGAAGATAAATAAAATACACAGCTCAGGGCTCAGGGCCAGGGTTCCAAACCTGTGGGAAGGGGCCTGAGTTTTTCATTCATCTCTGCCCGAAGTGGACAGATTCCATCCAGGAAGCCTGCATCAGCCTGAATTCAGATCCACCTATTCCTCTCCCCTCCTCTCTCCCCGGCCCCACCCCCTGCTCTCGCTCTCTCGTGGGATCTAACTCTGGCTCAGCAATCTGAACCTTAGAGGGCCATGGTGCAAAGACCAGGTTGCTGTTTGCAGTGTTTGTCAAGATGCCCTGTACTCCAAGTTAGCACGAAGGGCAGTGAGAGGAAAAAGGAGGAGAGGAATCTAGCCAGAGCGTCTTCTCTTATTGTGTCGAAGCAAGTCTGACCTGGGATCCTGCACTGTTTACTTCTTAAATGAAGGCAGGAAAAAGAAACCTGAAATTCCCCCAGGGGAGGACGAGGGGAGGGCTGGGAAGGTTTAAGGGAAAGAACTAGGCATGGATTCTTCCTTATGCTTCCACTACTGTTGTTTTTTCTGTTTGTAAATATAATACATATTCATTATAGAAAGCTTAGAAAACACAGAAGAGTCTAAAAAAGGAAATTAAAACACTCACAATACTAAAACTCAAGGGTAAACACCATTAACCTTTTGGAGAATTTTATCATTTTAGTATAGTCTTACAGCCTACTTTTTTCTTTTAATAATCATTTTGTGGGCATTTTCCAAAGACATTGCAAAAATCTCCAAAAATATGTTTTTAAATCAGTTGATTCATATTCACTGTATGGATAAAATATAAGGTTTTTTAAAAAGCGTTTCATAATGTTAGCCCTTAAGTTTTTATTTTTCTTATTATAAAAGAAAAGCTCCAGTGAACACACAAATACACACACATATAATAGCATATTACAGAATGTAGAATAAAATGGAATTATTTTCTAGAAGTATGTTCATAGGAGTACAACTATCAGATTAATTCTTGATATTCCTTTACACCCTAGCCGTCAGAAACTTTGTGGAGAACAGTCTCAGCATTACACCTAGGGGGCTCCAACATCTCAGCTTTGCAAGAGATGGCAGCTCATATACCAAAGGTCTTCTCCGGCTTACTTGAGTGCAAAAGTGTGTGTGTGTGTCTGCGTGTGTGTGCACATGAGTGCATGTGCATGTGTGTGAGAATGCTAGGAGGGGAGAGGGTGCACCTGAACTGTATCCTTGTTTCAGGTGGACTCCTAATTCAATGTGACTGGTGTCCTTATAAACACCACGTGAAGAGATCAACACACACGCACACACACACATTCAAACATACACAGAACTCCCTGTGAAGACTGCAGTTGTGTTGCCACAAGCCAAGAAACTACCAGAAGCCAGGGGAGAGGCCTGGAACAGATCCCTCCCTAGTACCTTCAGAGGGAGCGTGGCCCTGCTGATACCTTGATCTTGGATATCTAGCCTCCAGAACTGTGAGGGCCACTCAGTTTGTGGCTTAAACTGTTATTTAAGCCACTCAGTTTGTGGTCCTCTGTTAACGGCAGCCCTAGGACTCTAATGCACTCACTTTTACCCAGGAGTTCAGAAGCCTGCTAACCTTGGAAGGACTCTTCACAACTCAGCTTTGTACAGAAAGACCAACCAGAGTCAGGCCTGATGTACAGATGGTGAGACGATGTCCCAGAGAGATGAAATGATTCATTTGAAATTGCTTTCTGGGACTTCCCTGGTGGTTAAGAATCCTCCTGCCAATGCAGGGGACACAGGTTCGAGCCCTGGTCCGGGAAGATCCCGCATGCCGTGGAACAACTAAGTCATGCACCACAACTACTGAGCCTGCGCTCTAGAGCCCGTGAGCCACAGCTACTGAGCCTGCATGCCACAACTACTGAAGCCCATGCACCTAGAGCCCGTGCTCCACAACAAGAGAAGCTACCACAATGAGAAGCCCATGCACCGCAACAAAGAGTAGCCCCCGCTCATCACAACTGGAGAAAGCCCGTGCAGCAACAAAGACCCAACACAGCCAAAAATAAACAAATAAATTTATTAAAAAAAAAATAAGAAATTGCTTTCTTCCACAATTCTTTAAAAGAACGAAGCCAAGAGAAGTTAATTCTGCCAACGTGCTAATTGTCTGCCAGCCACTTACCTCACATCCAATGCTCCTGACTCACCTTAAGGTTGGCCTTTGGGGGATGCCCTATTCTCAGGGGTGGAGTGGCCACAAATGAGTAGCAGATTGGGGGTGTCGAAGAGTAACACCAAGCCAAGTCTCACTAGAATGTTGAAGGACCCATTTGTGTCAGTGAAACCTGCCAATAGAGAGGGTGTGTGCACCTAAATTATTTATTTTCGTGCCATAAAATGCCAAAGAATGCTTTGAATTAAAAAAAAAAAAGTATTTTTCACCCTGAAGGTGGAACTTCCTGGGTTCCCAAATTCTTGGGCAAATATCTGGATCAGAATTACGTTTTAAGCACCCAGTCGTGAGGGATTAAACATACAAGATTCTAAAAATGAGGTGCAAGGAAAGGAGGACCACGCGGGGCTCTGGAGTCAAGAGATGCAGTTGGAGTTCCAGCTGCACTCTCACTAGGGGGCCGACGTCAGGCACGACACTCTAACACCCCTGAGTCTCATCTGTAAATGGCATGACCGACCACACCAAGTTCCAGAGGGTCCCAATGGAATGAGGTGGTAAGTGATTTATAGGGCAAAGTCGCTAAGTAGCACAAGCAGTTAGTTGGGTCTTAGGTGTGCAAACAGGACAGTTCAGAATTCCAAGGCAGCACTGCACCTGGGAGTATCCTGGCGCTGACCGCTGAGTTCACGTTGATCTCTGAGATGGATTTCTGACTTGGAGAAGTGAACTATAGAAAGGATTTGGGGAGAGCCAAAAGTGAAATTTTTTTTGCAAAAATATAACGTGCATGTTCATTTTCTGGGAAGAGAACCCATGGGAATAAGGGTATGTGACCACTTCATCCTTCCTCCCAAAGGTCTCCTCCATCCTTCTTTAGAAAGGGTGTGCGGGCATTCAGGTGGAATGGTAGGGAGGAAAGGAGGTGGGGCACCTTGAAAGGGTGCAAACAACAAGCCTTGAGATCTGTATTCATCAAATTATCAATAATCCCCTCTTCTAGGCTTCTCCACTTTCCTTAACACCCTACCATACCTACCCTTCCCTTTAGCAGGCCACATTTCTGTGACTCCTTTTTATCCCCTGAAGGCTTTGCCCGTGTTCTTCCGGGAGGAAGGGGAGGTGACAGTAATGTCAGGTGATTCTGCAGTGTCATTTGCTCCTATGTACCCTCCGCTCCTGGAGCTGGGTGTTCTCTGTATAAGAGGCTGTGGTGTCAGAGTGAGACTGTGAGGGAGTCAGGCTGCCGCTGCCTCATCCCATTCCCCGAGGAAGATGTGCGAGAAGGAGCCTGAACACAAAGGGTTGATCCAGCCAAGCTCTGGGTGTTAGTCAGAAGGACTAACAGGCTGGAGGTGAAGTGAGCGGGGGAAGGAGGAGGGGAAGGAAGGTGAGAGGGCTGTGACTCACTATGAAAGAATTGTGGTTTCTCAGGGGTTGGGAAATCAAACACAAATGACCTCAAATTTAGCTAATAGAGAACACTGATTTCCTTTGTGCAGCAGAGCCAAATGCATTAAGCTTCTACTTAAATATTGCCAGCAAGAATTTTTCAGTTTTTATATTCAAACCCCATTTTTAGGTCACCTTTAAAATTTCCTAGCTGTCCCTTTGAGGAGCTGCATTCAGTGATGATGTCTCAATCCAGCCAGACATCTGACTGTTAATTATACTGCCAATATGCATTCATTCTCCAAGAGTAGAGAGAAAAAGACAGACATCCATTCTTCTAGAGTTACTTTATCGTGTTGTGCTTATAGCACTACTGTATATATATGATCCCATCTCTGGCAGTCTGCCTCTAGGCTTACCTGTCTGCCAACCACCCAGCCAAGCCCAAGGATGGTATTTATCAGTAGCAGGAAAGCAGCAGCTTAATAACAGCCACAAAACTAGCAAGAAGAAAGTGTATTCTTTTTTGTTAGCTCCCGTGGCCGCACTACATCGTAACTATCTTTTCATACTATCTCTATATTCCTTTAATCTGACTTTAGGTGACAGTCCTAAAGCAAATGATGCTTTTACTTTCATATGCCTTAATGTTAAAATGTACACAGAATTTGTGAACTGACAATTATTAGGAGCTAAAGACTATTTTACTATCTAAATTATCATTGTCATATGTAGTCTCACAATAGGAAAAATTTGACAACCCTCCTCCATGGAAGCTGTCTAGGAAACACATCTTAACAATCTGAAAACGTCTCATGCCACGGGCGTTCTCGGCTTCCTGCTATTTTCTCCCTCCTGCTCCCCTCCACCACCACCCTAATGAATATTCAGCCTGCATCCATCAACCAGGAATTTGAATAGGATGCTTCCTGTTTTTCCTATTAAAGATTAACTGTTGTCCAGGGGAAAGGGGATTGTTTGGTAAGACCTTGCAGCTGGGAATTCCTGTTTATTTTTCATTCTGACCCTGGTTCTGGGGATAACATATATCCGGTAGTTTCAAATAATGTCCAGTGCTCTGTTAGCCCTGACTCTAACTATAACCTGCCTACCTCTTTCATCTCACTGTGAGAAATTCAAAGTCAGGGACCAAGTCTTATTTAACTTCACTTTTCTGGTGCCCAACATGGTGCCCAGAACAGAGCAGAAGCTCATAAAGTGTGTTGAATGGATGAAAAGCATAGTGATTATAAGTTCCAGGGAGAAGTGGTCATAAACATCCATCCATTGTCCTTAGGCTAGAAAAGGATAAAGAGAGATGAAGATTCATTTGTGCCCATTGTGTGTACTTTCTGGCGAAGTGGTGATTACCTAGGTGTGTTGCAGGATGACCCAGTGGGTCCTGGAATTGGGTTTTATTCTTCTGTCTTTCCCAACAGTGGAGTTTTCCACATTTCTCCCAAGTGCTTAGTAGCTTCTGCAGCTTTACCTGGTTACAGGGGCTCCGTGGATCACGGATGCTGTTCCTGGTTTGTTGCGTGTACTTCAGAAGTCAATCGCCAAGGATGTTTCGTGAGCCCTCCGTGGTTGTTACTTGGGTAAACTGAGATGTTCTGGAAGAATTAATTCACAGGAAGGTAATGGTTTTGTCACTTGCCAGAGAATTATGAGCAAAAACATGTTTGAAAGCATGATTCTACCAAAGCCGTTTATAAATGTGCGGATATTTGCCATTTAAATCTTATAGATTCTTGATCTATGACTCGGACTACGTGGGATGAGGAAATGCGCCATGAGGAAATGTCTGGGAACCTCTTCACAATTAAAAGGAGATCCATGAGTTCCTTTCCTGAAGACCTTATGGATGACGTTTTGCATTTGCCATCTGGGGGAAAAGATAGAAACAACTTAGTATTTCCTTCATACTCATTTTTAAAGGCTGCAAATGCACTTTACAAACATCATTTCATAAATCCTTAAACCAAGCCCGGGAAACAGTAGATATGCTTAACATTTGCTAAAATCTTTCAATAGCTTCCTTTCGCCCCAGGGATCAATTCCTAACAGCGGAGTCGGCTTCCACTCTCCAGCTTTTCCTCAAGCACTGACCTCCAGTTACACTAAACTTCTAGCCTCACTTGCATTTTCTTGCTTTCAGTCCTTTGTGTCAACTGTTCCTTCTTCCAGGAATACTCCTCCCTCCTCTCCCGTCCCCCACCCTTAGTCCTTCCAGTTGAGAAATCTGAATGTTGCCTCCTGGAGATGATTCCTGCACTAGGTTAGGTTCCTTTATGTTTGTTTCCTCACAGAGGGAGCTCCCAAGAGAAATTCAGAGCCTACAGTGCCTCCATTTTCAGAGTAATCACAGCTTTTTCGAAGTTACTTTAGATGTTCATAGGAAATATGTGCGCTCAGGGTTAGCCTCCTGTGATACTCCATGGCCTCCTATTTGTGTACGGGAAATGACGTCCTGTCAAAAGTTGCTGCCAAAATTGCATTTTAGAAGAGCCAGGAAGAGCCTGTCAAACATCTTGCCGTGTAGTTTGGAGGGTTTCGTTTTGTCAGATTACCTTAGCCGTCCAAGGAAAAAGTCAATCACGCCTCAGTCCTTGACGTCTTCCTCTGGGTAGTTTAACGTATTATTAGTAGTTGGACCATAATTCAAACTCCATTATTAGGAATGTCCAAGGAGTATATGACTTTCCTAATTATATTAGGACATGCTTTTATTTAATATTACTTAAAATAAGTAGTTAGTATGCAGATGCTTAGAAGCCCTGGGGTTATATAAACTGCTTTGTGATAGTATTATTTTAATCTCAGTAGGTATTTATTATTCTTAACAATGTACAGAGCAGCAGAAGGGTCAAAAGAGCAGATTCTGAAGAAAACAATGCCACTTGTGATACATAATATCTCTGTGGCTCAGTTCCTTCATCTATGCAATGGAAATGACAATGGTACCTACCTCATGGGATTACTATGGGGGTTAAATGAAATAATGCATGTAAAGTGTTTAGGATTATATACAGCACAAGGTAAGCTCTCAATAAGTGCTACCTATTTTATTATATAAAATATGTAGGTGCTCCTTTATATTTCCTGATGATGGAATTAGCCATTTCCTTTCTCAAATTGATCATCTCCTGTAGGTGCTGCAGAAGTTATAGCAGTTATGGGACAGTGAGTTTTAGACTTAGATCTAGTTTTCCCTTCCTGTGGTGCTAGGAAGCTGACCTAAACTCTCTCGGGTCACATAAGGCCCATGAGCTCTCTGAGGATCAGAAGTACTGCTTCCTCCTTTTGAACCCCTGTGGTCCGTAGCTTGGCGTGGGACAGACTGTCTCAGCCACTTGCCTCCATGATGGCGTCTTTTATCTCTTCTCCCATCAGTATCTGGATGGCCAGCTCTCTCCCCCACGGGGCCATCACCCAATTGATCTAATATCATTAGGCCAGCTGTGTCTTGCCCATAGATTCTCAATAAATGTGTGTCATGAGGGGCATGCAGATGACAAACAACTCTTTCCCATGTGAACAGATGAGAAAACAACTGCCTTATTTCAATCTCAATTTACTTTTCTTCATTTTACTGTCTTGGTGAAAAGTCTGAGGAGGATTGACCATAATTTTCTTAACTAACTAACTAACCAACCAACTAACAAATACCTCAGGATCTTCAGAGGCCTGACTCCTGTTTCAAGGGACAGCTGAGAACATTATTTTATTGATGCGTTACTGGTTAACAAATGTATTAGCCTAGTATTCAAGATAGGGCTATCAAATGGAATTATAAAAGGAAAGAAGTTTTAAAACTTCTATTAGGATTTCTCAAATAGATTTTATTGGACATCTTTGGTTTTTATTGATTAGAGGCATAGTGGACATATTTTTAAAGAATCTCCTGCATGTAAAGGTGAAAGAAAAGGCCCTCTGATGCGCGTAGGTTTTATTATTTTCTATCCCTTCTTCAAGAGCACACATCCTGTAAAAAACAGACAAACAAACAAGATCAGCACTCTTTTTTTTTGCCACTTGCCCATCAAACATGGCTTCTGCTTCTGATTGGATAACTGATTCCAAGCTCTTCCCAGACCCAAGTCTGAATGAAGTCTCCACACTCCTTCCCATCATCTGTCTTTCACCAGTTATTGTTGTATCACAGAAGGATATTGCTCTGGAAGTAACACTTTCTAATTCTCCTCTGTCATTTATTATTTTGTGAAAAGAATCAAGGAGGAAGCAAAGTTGGTCAGCTATTCATTCTATAGCAGCCTGACTCCTGCAGTCCTGGGTCTCAATTTTCCATCTGTCTGTTGAAGAACCTGCACTTCGTTGGAGGAGGCTTAAGCACCCTGAAGAGCTGTACTATTTTTTATTTACCTGCAGGAAAAACTGGAGGAGGTATCCAGGATTTGTAACAGTCCATTGTTAAGGGCATTCTATTTCTTAAAAATTCCATTCTGCAAGGACTATTAAAATCCATCCCATAGAAATACTTGACTTGAATACCATTATCTATTTAGATGGTAAAGTTCTGTGGCTGTTATAATATGATAGCTGATTCCTTTGCTAAGCTCTGTGTTTGTTTATTAATCCCTGGAAACCATTATAATAAAGTTAATGGGAGGAAGGAGGTCCCTGAACTTAGTGTGCTTGGCAGTTCCTGAAAACAGCCCAGAGTTAGTAACTGGATGGCCCCCTGGTAAAATCCATGCAAACAGGAGGTGAGAAAGCCTGTGGAATGCTTACTCCTCCTCCTTCACTTAATTATTTATGTTCAAGTCACTTCCTTGGGGCCATGTCCTTTTAAGATGGATCACTGTAAGAATATTTTTATTAGAGCATGTTTGAGGGCAGATTGTTTTACAAATATATAAAGGTACAATTAATATGCCCCTAGCCTAAGGTATGTTATATTTGCTGTGTATAAGTGCTAACTAAAAGTTAGTGGATTCTGATAATTTGAGAAGAATCCATAATGTGTAAACAGAAGATTCAAGCCAACTTGCAACTTAATCACTTGTTTAGAAACTGCTTCACCCTTTACAGTATGTCTGATTTTGTTTCCTTATGAAAATAGTTAACATAAATAAAGTTTTCACAATTAGTCATTGGTAAAATGAGGATTAGAAGATTTTTCTGCCTTGTAGCATTGGTATAATAGTTGATGGAGGTAATCTGTATAAAGAATTTTGAAGAGTGCCTGGCATACAGATGGTTCTTTAAAAAGCTTAGGTAGCATTATTGTCATCATTAATAAATGAGCTTGAATCTATGATCAGTCTAGATATATATAGTAGTCAGTACAAATTTAGGTCTCAAAAAGTCACAACTGTCCACTGTACTCTAATGTTTTAAATCTGCAGGAATACTACCTTCCATTTTTTCTTTCTCTCCTAGCCCTTAATTTAAGGAAACCATTTGGTTTAAATATCTGACAGGAGCCTGGCAGCAAGATCTAAAGTCACGGTTTTCTATCATTATGGAGACAGGTTTCTCAGGGCCATTTTTATTTTCAAAAAAACCATGTGTTTTATAAGCATTTAAGAATATGCAATGAAACTTAGAGGATTGCTAGGAGAGAAGCAAGGATTGTAAAAAAGCATGTTGTTGGTAAAATGGCATGTGAAAATACAATATATATATATATATATATTAGAAAATGGAAAATTTCTCAAATGTCTGCATTGGGAGACTTCAGGAAGGTGGAGAAAGCCCATTTCCTGACCAAAGGTTTCTGAAGAAGGAGTCAGGCCATTTGTCTCGTAGCCTTGACCTGAGTCTCAGACTGGCCTTCCCTCCCTCCCTCCCTCCAACCAGGTGGAGCAGACAACAGGGGCCTTTGCTTTAATTCTATAGTTTTAGCTCAATCGTTAGCCCTTCCCATTACCCACATTTCTGACCTGGATGTAATCACCCCTCCTTTGTGCCCCCACAAATGTCTGTCAGCAGCCAGAACACTACTGTCCTTATCTGATTAAGGTTGTTGACCTAAAACAAATAGACTGCCAGCTATTTCTCCAGCAAAAATGGGTTTAATTGGCATCAACAAAAGATTGCAATTCGGGGTTTATAACCATGACGAGCCATGTGCAAGACCACATACAACAAAGGAACACTTAAAGAGGGGAAAAAGGATTTGGGAGGGCCACAGTAAACAAAGAATCCATTGGAGGAATTGAGAGTTCCAAGCAGAGTGGCTTTCATTGGCTGAGTCGTGACAGTCTCTCATTGGCTGAGCTCTTGCTAGGCAGGAAGAGGAAGTTTTTCTTTTTCTTGGTGAGCTCAGCTATCCTCTTAGGGAGTGACAGCTCCCCTGTCTGGCTTCCTGATTCTATTTTAATTGAGATTTCTGCTTATTAATTTTTACGAGGTCTAATCTCCTTACAATTTTCTTCATGGTAAAGACTCTTTGTTATCCATCTTTATATTCCTATGTTTAAAACAGTGCCTTGCATTTAGTTAGTGCTCAAGATATGTATCAAATGAATGAATAAAATAAAGTTTAAATGAAATAGTTGTAGTGTAAGTGCCCGACAGTATGCTTTTTATTGCCAAGGCAGCCATTTTGAAGACATTCATCTCGAATAAACATATTGCCAGCTGCATGACACAGATATTATCAAAACATCTAGGCAAGAAACCAGGCTGCCCCCACCCATGCAGGTCCCTATTCAGGAAGCCCTGAGTAACATAGAAAACTGATCACTGGAGTGACCCCACTTCTCCCTACCCACGCCCTCATTCCAGCTCTGAGCTTTAAATTCACCAATAAAGAGTGAATTCTCAAAATGCTAGATACCCAACCTTTGGACCCTAATAAAGGCAGAGCTCCTGGTCTGCATTCCCTTCCACTGTGACCTCACTGTGTGGCTCTTGGGCATGCCATGTACCCTCCAGGACCTGTGAATAATAAATCTTGTCCTTCAAAGTTCCCTGATGGTTGTTGCTGAGGTATGTGCTGCATCACGATAAAAAAAAACAAGGGCTGGTCCAGCCACAACACTGCTTCAAGTTGGGGAAATGTCTGGGGGGCTGCCATAAGTAGCAGGCCCCAGGCGAGTGTCTCAGGCATTCCTAACCGATAGCATCACATTAATAGGCTGAGACCCACACAACAATCAAATAAAATGTTATCTTGTAACCTGACATAATTTAGCTACTCAGTAAAGGGTAGCTGTGATCATGATGATAAATACTATGTTATTGCCATGAATGACATTTCTCAAAAAATGTAGTTTAGCCTTATAGACCATATTTTTTTTAAAGTTATCACACTAAGAAGGCTTAAATATTCAGTTGAATTTCTCTGTTATCTCTAGAATATGTTCCTGAACATATTTCTTTTACAAAATAAATTTTGTTTTTCTTGTTATGAAAAGGTTAGGTGTTAATTATAATTACAAAGTATAGAAAAAATTATGCCTAGGTTTGTCATCCAGAGATAACCATATTCATATATAAAAAATGTTTCAGCCTCTTTTTCTATGCAAGTCTTTTTTTTTTTTTTAAGTCTTTTCTTTTTAATATAGTTGTGATTCAATCCTTGGTTCATTTAACAAATATTTATAAAATGCTTACTACCTGCCAGGATACGTATACTGTGATTATATAAATAACTTTGCGTCCAACCTTTCAGTTAATAGAAGAAACAAACATTTGCCCATATTATTAAACACCCTTTGTAAATGTAATTATGCTTTGTTTAACTATCCCTTCTTGTTGGACGCCTGGGTCCTCTGCAATATTATAATGCTGCAGTAATGTTTTGGATGTTTAGGATGCTTTGTTTAGGAAAGAATCCCAGGTCTGGATTTACTGGGAGGAAAGCTGTGAACACTCTGAGATTTTCGATACAGTTACCCACTTACTTTCCAAAATGAGGTACAAATGAACTGAATGGAGAGTCCACTGATATACAAAAATATAGAAAAATATATAGAAACATACAGAAAACACATTTTCTATATAGGGAATATAAAAAAATATAGTTAAAAAAGTATACCTCAATTTTAAGGTTTAAGTGACAAAACAGCGAGGAGGTGGCAGTCAACCAACTTCGCTTTTCAAATACTTGACATTCATCTGAAGTTGCCAGCTTGTCAGGAGGTTGTGCCCATACTCGGAAAGAGCCGGAGGAGTCTGGTTGAGGTGTCTCGTTCCTAATCCAGTGTCTCGTAAAAGCACAGAACCTCGGTAATTTAAACGAGATGTCTCTCTGGTATGCCTAGAAGTGCCTAAAACTATGACAAAGCCGGGACAAATATAGCAAGAGTTTCGTATAACAAGTAAAATCAAGATTTCTTTAAAGGCTTAGAATTTCTTTCTTGTTAAATATACTTATTTATTTTTAGATAAGAGGAGCTCTGGGCCAAAGCAAGCAGTGTAATATCTTCTTTGTGTTGTCTTGAAGGAAATTAGCCAGGAATTTGACTCATTTTTAGCATGACATTCCAGGAAGTCTTTAAGCTGACTATAGGGAACTGATACTTTCTGAAAGTAATTTTTGCCAAGAGACACAGACTTCTGAGGCAGAAGATGTAGACACCGCACGCATATTTCAATTCAATTACATTTTCTTTCCTTTCTCTCCCCTACCCTGTGTCTTCTGTCTGATGTATGATATACACCTTTAGGAAATGTAGGTGACTTCAAAGATATTTCAAGATTTTCCTTACTACTAGTAAGTGAGTATACAGCTTAGAAATTTGGTTGTGAGTAAACAGTTAGAGTATTTACCTGTCTAGCTCTTGAAGCCCTTTCCCAAGGCATTCATGTAAAGGCTGAATGTTTAGCTAACTCCTATAAATGCAAAGATTTGTCATCGCTTCACTGGTTACAAGTATAATACGCGTGAGCTCCTGATTTCAATCCCCACATGACACTGTTAATTGTATTCTGTTTCATAATCAGACTACCCCATCCTCCACTGATTCTGTTTCATAATCAGACTACCCCATCCTCCACTGAATTGGTGCGTGGTGTTTAAGGAGAGCGGGAGGAGATAGACTAGTGTGTGTCATTCATTTTACAAGGAAGCCCAGATAAAAGAGTAACGGCAGATCACTCACTACAGATTCATCACCAGCATGGGAGGAAACTGCATTAATGGTGGAGTAGCAGCATATTTATGTGTATGAAGGATAGTTCATCTCAAACTCTAATATATAAAAGCACTATTTACAAATAAAGACATATTATCATTAACCACTATCAGCGTAGGTCCCTTATTTTCTTATCTAGCTTATTCATTCATTCATTCAATAAATATTTATGAAGGGCTCACATGTGCCAAAGTTCATAAGTGAAAGGTTAATTCTTTTTATTTAGAGAGGGTGTGTCATATGACATAACCTTTAGCAAATCATAAAACCAACCAAAACCCTAGTAAACCATCTGAACTACGAGTGACTATGTGACTTGGGTATGTCAATATATGGGGAGCAACTACATTGGTATAGAAGCAATCTACACAAGGTAGTTGACTTCCTGGTAATAGATACGGCCAACTAAAATCAGCCAGGGTGAAAAGGAAAGAGGGCTGGGTATGGGAATGTAGAGAAACTAACATTCCGGAGACTCTGGAGGGAAAACCATTAAAGACGATTTAGATCGATGATGGAAAGGGGACCACTTTTTCTCTTTAAATCAAACCAAGATTTTGCCATCTTAGTGATGGAGGAAGGCGGGAATTCCTTAGTGGTGCAGTGGTTAAAGAATCCTCCTGCCAATGCAGGGGACTCGGTTTCGATCCCTGGTCTGGGAAGATTCCACATGCTGCAGAGCAATTAAGCCTGTGCACCACAACTGCTGAGCCTGCACTCTAGAGCCCACGAGCCACAACTACTGAGCCTGCGTGCTGCAACTACTGAAGCCCACTTGTTCTAGGGCCCGTGCTCCACAACAAGAGAAGCCACCGCAGCAAGATGCCCATGCACCGCAACAAAGAGTAGCCCCTGCTCGCCGCAACTAGAGAAAGCCCACGTGCAGCAACAAAGACCAAATGCAGCCAAAAATAAATAAAAAGAAAATGAAAAAAAAGAAAAGCTGGCTAATTAAAAAAAAAAAAAAAAATGGAGGGAGGAGCTTCTGGGAAAGAGCAGCTTAACCAAATCAGGGATTCACCTTTCCCTGGGGACTCTGTCTCTGGAAACCAGTGCCTCTTCTGCTGTCTTAGGGAGACTTTTCTCCTCCTATAGGACTTTGGTTCAGATGTGGACATCTTATGCATTAGGTCCCATAGCATGATTGAGACAAGGCTACTATATTTCCACATGACATTTCTATTCAAGGGCAGCTTCTCTCAACCTCTCCCTCCATCTACAGTAATGAACACGGTTCCTCTCCTGTAACTCAATCCACTGCATGTGAAGGAGGCACCTAGCCCTCCTCGTGTCACTTGGTGGGATTTGAGACTTGGAGAATCAGTGCAAGAAAATGCTAATGCTCTAGCTACTGCTGTTGCTGTAATAAAGTTCTTTGTCTCTGACCCAGGAGTCTCATATCTCATGTCAACATCCCTGATCATAGGTTAACTTGTTAGTTTGCAAGTAGAGTAAAATCTCAGACCTCTTGCAGTTCTTGACAGTTTTGTTGACACAGATGGGATGCCAACTGAGACACGGCTTTCTGGAACAGGAAGGATGAGGGCCTCCAGGGCTAACAAATGGGATTTGAGGAAAGTCCATGGGAATCAGTAGGTAACATATTTGACTGCATTTTTTTTTTTAACTAATGCCTATTTCCAACCAGCTTTTAGTTTATTTAGTCGTTTCTTTTTCTTAAAAAACCTTTTAAATTATTTATTTATTTGGCTGCACTGGGTCTTAGTTGCAGTATGCGGGCTCTTAGTTGCAGCCTGTGGGATCTAGTTCCCTGACCAGGGATCGAACCCAGGCCCCTTGCATTGGGAGCGTGGAGTCTTAACAGCTGGACCACCAGGGCAGTCCCCTAGCTTTTTCTGTTCTAGATTCTTGAGTGGAATTCAGAGTTAGTCACTGTCAATATTTTTAAATAATGAAAGCACTGACTATAGCAGTTTTTCCTCCAAATTGAAAGAGCAGCATCTGCTCACTGGTAATGGCCATGGAAGTCCCTGCAACTGGCCCAACAGGGAGGATGGAAGGAAAATGGCTGGACCAGCTAGAGGCTGCCTGAATGTAGGGGTCTCCCTACATTCTGCTGGCTCATGGGGAAGCATCATAAACCTCCAGAAAAGTTCAAGGGATTCAAGACAAAAGGGACCATTACTTGGTTTACTGGATTTAGCTGGGGACTCTGGAAGCGTTTGTGTGCAATGGATGGGCAATGCCAGAGGTGTGGTGAGTAGGTAGGTGGGCCTGAAAGTACGATGTGGGTGGGGCAGGTGAGGGTTGCATCTTCCAGAATGAGATTGAGCATGGAAGTTGCAGTAGGGTCTAGTTGAGGAGAATGCAGAGCAGACACAACATGAGACCAGAAACTGTGGTGGGACCACAGATCATCAGCACCTGGCACATCAGGATGATGCCCCTGACCAGGTACTTTCACCCGTCCTGCAGCAGAGCCAAGGTGCCAGAACAGCAGACAGACCTCTGGGAAACTCAGGTCCCTCCTGGGGAAGAGGGAAGAAGAGCGAGGAGGACAATCTTTAATATTCAACTGCCTGAGTTTAAATCTTGAATTGACTCTAATTTAAACAAAAAATGACACACGTACTGTGTTGAAATGGGGCTGAAGAGCTAATTTAGGTTCCATTACAGAAAAGGAGATAAAGTTACATGTTTAAACACCTGAGGTTTAAGTTTTGACCTGCTGTATGAACACGTTCTGAATCCCCATTGCCTGTTTGAGGACAATCTTTTGTTCCCTTTCTTTCTGGAAATCTCTATCTACTCGCTGCTCTGTGTTAGTCATGCTTCTGTGACTCATTGCTCTGCTCAACAAAAAAAATCCTTTCCTTGACCTGTCATGCCCTTAAGCTACATCTGCATTTCTTATCTTTCTTACCTAAGTTTCCTGTAAACATTTTCACTGTCTTTACTTATTCAATTCCCGTTCATTTCTTAAAGCCACTCTTATTTGGCTTCGATCGCCACTATTCTACTGCCATGGAGCTTATAAAGTTCACAAAAATTAATTGCTTCCTTTCAGGTAGCCCCCACTCCCCGTTCTCCCATCTCTCTGTGATATTTATCAATGTTGACCAAGCTCTCACTTTCCTTTTTCCCTTATAAAATTCTTTTTAATTCTACTTTATCTTAAGTTAAAATTTTCCTGGTTCTAACTTTCTTCAGGTCTGGTTAATTTATTCCAGACACTGAAGCTCCCTTTACGGGTTTACTTATTCAAGTCACACATTAGACTGAATCGTGTCTGTTTATTTTCAAAAGGTAAAGAAACAAATTACTGTGGCGAAATCTAGTTGGTGACCCAGGTACACGGCCACCAAACTAACGAGCTGGCGTCTGGAACTCTTTCTGTGCAGAGTGGGAAAGCACTAACTCACCCCAGCGATTTGTGCTATCTGGCAGACACAATCTGATTTATGTCGCACACATTTGCATAAATTAGTCTCACTTTCCTTATTCCTGTTTAACTCTCTCAAAAGGAAGACCTCCCAGCCTTTGGGAAGATGGGAGCCAGAAGGCTGAGCTGTGGTGACCATCTGACATTGCGGAATGTTGGCCTGTAATTAGCCATCATAATGACTGCAGGGGGATGAACTGAGCTATTGACACAGAGAAGGCTAGACCCTTGTTTGCTCCTCAGAGAGAACATATTTTGGGGTTTTCACTCATTTTTGCAGGGATAGCACATATTTGGGGATGCTGAAAGCTTAATCAACTGTAGACCTCTGCTCTCTGATTTGGAAAGGGCATTATATTTAGTATTGTTTGTTTGCTTTTTGTTTTTTTGTTTTGTTTTGTTTTGTTTTTGCGGTACGCGGGCCTCTCACTGTTGTGGCCTCTCCCGTTGCGGAGCACGGGCTCCGGAAGCACAGGCTCAACGGCCATGGCCCACGGGCCCAGCCACTCCGCGGCATGTGGGATCTTCCCGGACCGGGGCACAAACCCGTGCCCCCTGCATCCCTGGGCGCACTCTCAACCACTGCGCCACCAGGGAAACCCTGCTTTTGTTTTTAACTACAGTTTATATTCAAATAGAAACAAAGGTATATGCTCTCTGAAATGACTTCAGATGATGTTTTCTTGAAATATTGCTGTTGAAATATGAGGATGCCACATAGAAATGTGGCTTATCAAATGCAAGCACACGGGGTTAGGGGACCAAACCCCTGCAAAGTGTATTTCCTTGGTGGACTCAAATACTTCTTTCTGTCCATCTCGGAGTATTTTTAAATGAGACATTCTTCCCACGCCCTTTTGTGGTTCCTGCAAATCCCCAAATCAACTCAAGTTGTAGTGTTTTCCTTTTGATAAGTGAAAGACAAAGAACCTGTTGAAGAACTCTACTGAGAGAAAGATCTCATTTGTAGAGGATTCGATAGGAGCTCAGACCTGTTCTCTCTTAGTTACTACTTCCTCTGTCTCTTTTGGTTTGGTTTTGTTATAAGAAGTAGCTGGTGGGACTCCCCTGGCAGCCCAATAATTAAGATTTTGCCTTCTAATGCAGACGGTGTGGGTTCAATTCCTGGTCAGGGAGCTAGGATCCCACATGCCCTGGGGCCAAAAAACCAAAACATAAAACAGAAGCAATATTGTAATAAATTCAATAAAGACTTTAAAAATGGTCCACATCAAAAAAAATAAAAGCCAAAAAAAAGAAAACCCCAAAAAACAAAAAAAAGAAATAGCTGGTGATTAGTATCCGTTAGTTATCACCATGGAACAAACCACACAAAATCTCATTGACCTTGAACAAGAAGTATTCATCATTGCTCTTGACTTTATGGGACAACTGAGCAGTTCTGTGGATCTGCACTGGGCTGCCCCATAATCTGTATTCGGTGGGTAGGGTGGCAGGGGCTGGATTAGCTAGAATGGCTTCATGGGATTAGCCCGTGTGGCTGTTGGCTGCCTGTGAGCTGGGGCAATGAGGTGATGGAACCGCTTGATCCCCATGATCAGGCAGGCTAGGCTAGGCTTGTTCTCACTGTGGCTGGACGGGATTTCAAGAATGAGAGCAGGGACTTTCCTGGTGGCACAGTGGTTAAGAATCCACCTGCCAATGCAGGGGAGATGGGTTCGAGCCCTGGTCCGGGAAGATCCCACATGCCATGGAGCCACTAAGCCCGTGTGCCACAACTACTGAGCCTGTGCTCTAGAGCCCACGAGCCACAACTACTGAGCCCGCGTGCCACAACTACTGAAGCCCGTGTGCTCTAGGGCCCATGCTCCGCAACAAGAGAAGCCACCGCAATGAGAAGCATGCGCACCACAACGAAGAGGAGCCCCTGCTCACCGCAACTCGAGAGAGCCCGCGTGCAGCAATGAAGACCCAACTCAGCCAATAATAAATAAATAAATAAATAAATAAAATTTATTTTTAAAAAAAGAACGAGAGCAGAGGGACTTCCCTGGTGGTCCAGGGGTAAGACTCTGCGCTCCCAATGCAGTGGGCCCGGGTTCAATCCCTGGATGGGAAACTAGATACCACATGTTGCAACTAAAAGACCCTGCATGCTGCAACTAAGACCCAGCACAGCCAAAATATAAATAAATAAATAAATAAATATGAAAAAAAAAAGAATGAGAGCAGAAATGAGGCTCAGAACTGGCCTAACACCATCTTTACCTTATTCTATTGATCAAATCCAATCAGCAGGCCAGCCCAGACTCAGGGATGGAACAAGAGCCTCCACTTTTCGATGGGAGAAGCCACCGAATGACATTGCCAAAGGAGCTGAGGTGGATATACAGAAGGGAGAAGAAATTAAGGAAAATTTTGCAATCCATGTACTACAGGGATATATCTTATAGATTATTATTTTTAAACACTTTGCTAACAAACTTACCCAAGCACTTACACCAAAGAATATGTTGAGATAAGGAGATAAAGAATCTGGTAATGTGACCAAGACAAAATCTTCCCAGTGTTCCAGAATATTGCATGACTCTGACTTCAGATTAAACCAAAGGGTCTTCCTGGAAGGAAGTGAACATCACAGTGAGCTTTTTGAAAGTAAGTATTGATGAAAGTTCCTTTACTTTAAATAGCTTCTCCTTTATGCAGATTAAACTTCAGTGGTTTTTCACATCAACATGGCCTGTGACCTGGGATGTAATCTAGAGGTTATCTAGTCTAATGTTTTTCAAACCTGCTCAGTTCTGTGGACCGTGGGGTTTGCATGGAGGTGTCCCAGAGGCCCCCTCCTGTTGGGAGGAGGCACAGGACAAACAGAAAGGATAGAGTTGGCATGTGAAGCCCTTGAGTGGGTCTAGGTCTGAGCTCTAGGCCTTCCACATGAATCTTCCTATTTTGTATATTGGGCTTTGATATACAATTTCATTAAAGGTAGGAGTTTCCACAGCTTTTTAAAAGGTTGGAACTCAACAAAAAACCTGACAACCCAATTAAAATACGGGCAAAGGACTTGAATAGACGTTTCTCCAAAGAAAATATACAAATAGCCAATATGCACGTGAACAGACGTTCAACATCATTAATCATTAGGGAAATGCAAACCAAAACCAGAATGAGATACCATTTCACACCCATTAGGATGGCTGTTAAAAAAAAAAGAAAAAAAGAAAGAAAAAACCCAGAAAATAACCACTATGGGCAAGGACGGGCAGAAACTGGTACCCAGTGTACTGTTGGTGAGAATGTAAAATGGTGCAGCCACTATGGAAAACAGTATGGAGGTTCCTCAAAAGATTAAAAATAAAATTACTATAAGATCCAGCATTTCCACTCCTGGAATATAACCAAAACAGTTGAAAGGAAGAACTTGAAGAAATATTTGTATACTCAGGCTCATAACAGCATCATTCACAATAGCTAAGAGGTGGAAGCAACCCAAAGCCTCCATCGACAGATGACTAGAGAAACAAAATATGGTCTATTCATACAATGGAATATTATACAGCCTTAAAAAGGAATGAAATTCTGACACATGCTACAACATGGATGAACCTGAAGACATTATGCTGAGTGAAATAAGCCAGTCACAAAGAAACAAATACTGCACGGTCCTACTTATATGAGGTACTTAGAGTAGTCAGATTTATAGAGATGGAAAGTAGAATGGTGGTTGCCAGGGGTTGCAAGGGGTGGGGGAGGAATGGGAGGTTAATGTTTAATGCGTACAAAGTTTTAGTTTGGGGAGATGAGACAGTTCTGGAGATGGATAGCAGTGATGGTTGCACAACAATGTGAATATACTTAGTACCACTGAACTACACACTTGAAATGGTTAAAATGGTAAATTTTATGTTACATATACTTTACCATAATTTGTTTTAAAAAGGTTGGAAAGCCTCTGATCAAATCTAACCCCTCATTTTATATTTGCAAAATACTTTGCTTTTTTCACCCACCAAAACAACTTGAAGATCTTTACACATCAGTCCTGCAGGTCTGCCCAGAACTGTTTGAACCACTGCTCGCTATTCTGCAACATAGATGCACCACAAGTTATTTAACCGGTTCCCCGATGACAGGCAGTGAGGTTCAGTCTTTTGCCATCCTATCTATCTTTTTACTCCTGCCACCCCTTCTGAACTGTGAGCACCTTCCAGGGGCGCAGATTGCATCTCATTTGTTGTTGTCTCTCTAGAACCCTACACAGTGCTCCAACCTTGATAGTTTTATTGATTAAAGAAATGAATGAATGTAGGCAATATACAGTCCAGCTAATATAGATTCTGGTCTGGATTCACTATGAATGGACTCTCTGACCTTGGGCAAGTCCCATCACCTTTCCAGGCTTCAGTTTCCCTACTGGTATGAGTACGTGAAAGGAGAGGTGCTTCCAGCTCTGAAACGCCATGATCCCAGTATTAGATTGACTCAGGATCTGACCCGATTTTCAGCCTCAGGAACAGAGGAGGCAGGGAAGAGTCCTTCTCCTGCTGTTGGGTAGAGCCTCCCCTTTCCTGGGCCACCACTGACAGTTCAGCCTGTTCAAAGCCTGACCATTTTCACCTGGGAGCAGACACATCTGGCATCAATGCTTTTGGCTCTACAGTGAGATGAAAATCCTTCTGTAAGGGGCATTTGACTGGGTTAGAGACTGACAGAGCAGTTTCACACGGTTAACTGCTATTTGCATAAAATGTCCCCACAATGCAGGGCACTGTGCCTTTTCTGCAAAGAAAAAAACCGGCACTAACAAAAGGCCTCACAATGTTGGGAAAATGGATGTTAACATTTCTGCCTGACTGATAATCTCTGATGTTACCCTTGGGAAGCCCCAGCTTTCAGAATGATTTATTTGTCAGGGTTTAGAGGTTTTTACTCCTATAATGGGCAGCAGAGGGAAGCTCAGTGCTTGAAGCAAACTGAGGAAGGGTTTATATGTTTTCTGGGGATTTTATTTGTTTTTGATTTCCAAAGTGAAATTTCCATTTCGAACAAAGAAGGAACAAAAAGGGACAAAGAACCAGTCGGCTGGTTTTGTTTGGTTTGTTTTTCTTTACATGACATTTTCCTTTTTTCAGTGCCAAACTCTGAAACTGAATGTTTGGCCCTCGGGGGTGAAGCAGAGGGTGAGTTTTTTCTGACTTTTCCCGGGATATCTTGGGTTTTATATTTCTTTGGTGTACAGAAGCCTTGTAGAGACATTATAAGAGAATTCACGGGAAGAGATCATGCCAAGGGGCCAGAGCAAAACCTGCTTTGTAGCACACGGCAGGCGTCGTGAGTGGGAGGGATGCCAAAAGGCCAGAACCCCAGGGCTCCTTTCCAAGGGAGAACACAGGACACTGTCTATGTCCGTCCTCTGCTTTCCCTTCACTCTTGCATTTGACAATCATCTAACCTTGGTTAAGGTCCTGTGTGCTTCTCTATAATGTCCATGTGTAAAATAGCTTTCTTTCCACTTGCTTCCCCAAAATGCCCCATTATTTTGAGAAAAATACCAAAGTTAACACGTGGAATTTGAATCCAGCATTCAAATCAATACCTTTAGAAATAATGTCAACTTGAGGTCTATCCTGGGTTCTTGGCATTGTAAATGAAAAATGTTGCTGCCATATCTGTACGAAAAGGATGTTGCAGCCATCAAGCAAGCACAATACAGCCGCCCGGACAGCGGGATGGAAACAGGATGCCCACCATCAAGCCATCAGCCACTGCAGCGCTCCCGCACCCAAAGGTGCACCCTGAGGAGACTCAGGATGAGAAAATACAGGATACTGGCTCCAGGTAGCTGAGGTGCATATCAAAGGAATGATTTCAGTGAGCCCAGACTCTTGCATCTTCCCATATAGAAAAGGGCTAAATTCCTTGACTTGAGATGTCTGGTTTTCTTTAATGAACAGTAACCTTTTGATGTTCTGACTACCTGGTTTTTGTCACTAAAACTCCTAGATATCCTGCTCCTCCCTACCTCTTCGGAGCATTCCCTCAGAGCCATCTGTGATGCTGTGTCCTGGGCTTGAGTCCTCAGTTTTGTCTGCCAAATAAAACATAATTCTCAACTTTTAGGTTGTGCATTTTTTTTTTCAGTGAATAGTATGGAGTCCTAGGTGTGTAGATGAAGGTCCACTTAACTATTCAACAGATACGTATTTACGGCCAGCACTGAAATAGGTGCTCTGGGGTAGAACACATGGTTTCTTCGCTCACTGGATTAACAACGTGAGAGAAATAAGAAACATTAACAGATATCACAGATATAAGAGATATCACAAGGCTGCTTTTGATTAAGTACCAAGGGAGTGGAAGAAGTAGTAATGGATGCTAAGTGTGATGTCTAAGAAAATCTGAACTGAGGGGAATCAAAACTTCATGGTTATGTCTGTAGAGCATCCTTACCTCTATAATCTCAAAAAGGTGATGTCACCTGGTAGACAGCTCAGAGTTTGGATATTAGTAACTCCACCAATAACACTCCCCGACCTTGAACTTGTCTCGCACATGAAAGGTTTTCACTCCAGTAGGAAAGGAAAATGACTAAGATGACCTCCATCAGAGGGATGTAACGTGTAATTCATTAATTAAAGGAAAATTCTTCAGGGAGCCTTACACATCCCTCGTGATAGCAATTGCTGCAGCCTCCCTTCTGATTTACCATGGAACAGTATTTGGGGACAAGGCTTTGGCATAGAAAATAAGATTAGAATCGCTCTTGCAAGACATGTAATTACAGGGGGCTTTAAATTGACAGTGGCTGACAAGATTTCTACCTGCACGTTAGAAAATCAATGGCAAACACACTTTTCAACATCAGGCAGTTGTGATGGCTGCCCCTTAATTGACAGCCAGGGAGAAACGTGCAACTACCTGTGGTTTACCTAATATTGGCCTCTATATTTCTTTACAGGCTAATAACATGGTTTCCAATCTCCCTCTGCCTTTCCTCAGTCAACTCTCTGTAGAGGAGATTAAATTTAATTTTCTTCATTATCACTCCATCCTGACGGGGAATTCAAATGCATCACTTTGAGATCTAAAAAAAAGTCTCAACTCAAGAGTAGATAAATGAAAGAAGACATAAAATATGGTTCATAAAACTGTTCCCCTGTAATAGTTAAGTCCCTCTGCTAATTAGAGAGAATGTGCTTTTATAGTTTCTTCCGACATACTTTAAAAAGAATTAGAAAGACTTGTACTCAGAAAACTATAGAACACTGATGAAAGAAATCAAAGATGACATAAACTGATGGAGAAATATACCAAGTTCTTGGATAGGAAGAATCAATATTGTGAAAATGACCATAGTGTCCAAAGCAATCTACAGATTCAGTGCAATCCCTATCAAACTACCAATGGCATTCTTCACAGAATTAGAACAAAAAATCTTACAATTCACATGGAAACACAAAAGACCCCGAATATCCACAGCAATCTTGAGAAAGAAAAATGGAGCTGGAGGAATCAGGCTTCACGACTTCAAACTGTACCAAAAAGCTACAGTAATCAAGACAGTATGGTACTGGCACAAAAACAGAAATAGAGATCAATGGTACAGGATAGAATACTCAGAGATAAACCCACACACATATGGGCACCTAATTTACGACAAAGGAGGCAAGAACATACAATGGAGAAAAGACAGCCTCTTCAATAAGTGATGCTGGGAAAACTGGACAGCTACATGTAAAAGAATGAAATTAGAACATTAACACCATACCCCAAAATAAACTCCAAATGGATTAAAGACTTAAATGTAAGACCAGATACTATAAAACTTTTAGAGGGAAACATAGGAAAAACACTCTTTGACATAAACCACAGCAAGATCTTTTTTGATCCACCTCCTAGAGTAACAGAAATAAAAACAAAAATAAACAAATGGGACTTAATTAAACTTAAAAGCTTTTGCACAGCAAATGAAACCGTAAACAAGACAAAAAGACAACCCTCAGAATGGGAGAAAATATTTGCAAATGAAACAACAGACAAAGGATTAATCTACAAAATATACAAATAGCTCATGGAGCTCAATATCAAAGAAACAAACAATCCAGTTAAAAAATGGGCAGAAGACCTAAACAGACATTTCACCAAGGAAGACATACAGATGGCCAAGAGACACATGAAACGATGCTCAACATCACTAATTATTAGAGAAATGCAAATCAAAACTACCATGAGGTATCACCTCACACTGGTCAAAATGGCCATCCTCAAAAAATCTACAACAATAAATGGTGGAGAGGGTGTGGAGAAACAGAACCCTCTTGCACTGTTGGTGGGAATGTAAATTGATAGAGCCACTCTGGAGAACAGTATGGAGGTTCCTTAAAAAACTAAAAATAGAACTACCATATGACCCAGCCATCCCATTACTGAGCATATACCCTGAGAAAACCATAATTCAAAAAGAGATATGTACCACAATGTTCACTGTAGCACTATTTACAATAGCCAGGACATGGAACCGATATAAATGTCCATCAACAGATGAATGGATAAAGAAGATGTGGCAGATATTTACAATGGAATATTACTCAGCCATAAAAAGAAACAAAATTGAGTTATTTGTAGTGAGGTGGATGGACCTAGAGTCTGTCATACAGAGTGAAGTAAGTCAGAAAGAGAAAAACAAATACCGTATGCTAAGGCATATATATGGAATCTAAAAAAAAAAAAAAAGTGGTACTGATGAACCTAGATGCAGGGCAGGAATAAAGAGGCAGACATAGAGAATGGACTTGATGACATGAGGTGGGAGGGTGAAGCTGGGGCGAAGTGAGAGTAGCATCGACATATATACACTACTGACTGTAAAATAGCTAGCTAGTGGGAAGCAGCAGCATAGCACAGGGAGATCAGCTTGGTGCTTTGCGATGACCTAGAGGGGTGGGATAGGGAGGGTGGGAGGGAGGCTCAAGATGGAGGGGATATGGGGGCATGTGTGTGCATATGGCTGATTCGCTTTGTTGTGCCACAGAAACTAAACGGTATAGTGAAACAATTATACTCCAATAAAGATGTAAAGAAAAATTAATAGCAGGGTTCAGTCATGTGTGTGTGTCTATGTGTGTGTGTTTACTGAGGTGGGAGGGGGGAATTCCTAAATAAAAACAAGAATTTACAATTGGCCTTACAATTTTTTACAAGTGTTTTCTAGTCGCCCAGTTGGTTTGTAGAATAAAACTCATGACGCTAGTTTGTTTTTTGGTTGGACACTATGAAATCACCATTTTGTGGGGCAAAAACTACTGAATATTGGCAATTTCATAAGTGTCAACCTAATAAGTCAGCTAAAAGCCTGGTGACTGCGTGTGCAGTGTGATTTCAGGAGTTCTACAAAGGACCTATAACCTTAAAATTAGATCAAGCTTCCTGTTTCATGAGTAAATAAGTTAATAACCATATAATAATAAGTAGTAAACAATACACATCATAATTTGAAATAAAGTACAAATGAACAACATCAGAGTCTTTCCTTTGAGCTAAAAGAGACCAGCAAGCAGCAGAACCCACGTGCCTAAAAGGGGGCATGGAAGGGAGGGGGCTGTCCTCTAAGGAGTCTCTGTAACAACGTTACCAACCTTCTGGGGCTACCCTTTCTGGAAGGTCATTTTTCCAGCTTGAGTCAGTGTATTGGCTGAGGAGGGGTGTTCTCAGGTCCATGCAGATCCACTGGATCCTCACTAATCTCTGCTGTGGGGAGGCTGGATTATTCCTCATCCAAACTCATGGCCACTAAGGTATGACTGGTCCTGCTGTATGGCCTTTTGGGTTGAGATTGAGAGACTGAACATACAAAGGGACAATGACCAGGCTGTAGGTAAAACTAGGCTCTGACCCACCAACTGCAGCAACTGCCCAGGAAATCACCTCCTTACCTACCATAACGAGCCCAGGAAGCCAGCCTGCTATAAGTGAGATGTACAGAAGGTCAGACGGCTCTCTCTAGTGACAATCCAGGAACACAAACAATAACTTCCATAATAATCAGCCCCAAATGGACAGAACTTGGGTGATAACTGACAGCTTCCCTGTCTCTGCTTCCAACGTAGGACCAACCAGAGAAAGCCAAACATCCACCGTTAGCCAATCACACGGATGCCCTACTAGTTAGCCTGCCGACAGCTTCCTCACGCCAGCAGCCTCCAACCAGGGCACACCTGAAGCTTTCCCTGTTTTCCATTAAAAAACTTCCCCATTCCTCTGCCTTAATGTGCCAAAACACAGAGTGGGTGTACCACTCAAGGTTCATGGTTGCAAATGAGAGAAACCAACTCTGGTCCACTTAAGCAGAAGGGGAATTGACTACATGCATTCATTCATGTGGGAGTGACCTTACCCAGAAAACAGGTGAATGTTGTTTTTGGCAGAGCAAACAAAAACTTAGATAATACAGTGGTCTGTAGTCCTCCAAAGGCCCATTGTATTTAAACAGATATACTGAATATTATCTATGGTAGTAACATTTCATGGTCAAAGGTGTGGGAGGGGGGTGGGGGCAGGGAGATGATCAGGAAACAAGTCTAAAAAGGCACCGTAGAGGTGCAGTGGGGGGTTGGGAGGTGAAAAGTTTATAAGAGGGAAGCAGGCAACTCTTAGAAGCTATGTGTCTACACACAGGCCAGATCCCCAGGTCATAGGAGAGGACAGCTGGCAGCCAGAAGGTCAGCAAAGCCAAACTACAGAAAGAGACTGGTTAAGATGGGCCATTATTGCCGCTGGTCATGGGATGCCCGCACACTGGGGCAGGAAACAAATTCCTGTTGCTTTGTTTCATTTGCTCCAACCTCAGAATCCTAGGTTTTCTGGTCCTCCCAAGACTCATCCATCAGTAGATCTCCCACAGATATGCAGATGGCAGGCTGGCAGGTGCCCACATGTAGGGCACTGTCGTCGCTGTGATTTCAGGCTATGCTTGAGCCCCAGGACAGCACTAGCTTTTGAAGCTGCTTGTTTAATGTTGCATGCTATTTGATTTGGGTTCCCATCGGGCCTAGCTCACTGTTGCTCTGGGTAGTGTTTGCCCATCAGGCAAGTGTATTTTTTAATCTTCTGATCTTTGACTTATCCTTCTGGGGCAAGGGGAGAGGCCACTCATTCCTTTTATTCTTTCTCTTTCCCTCCAGGGTCATGGGTCCTGGAATCTGAAGCCCTTTCTAACTTCTGACCAGTCTGTAGAATTTTCTTAACTAATTCATTTTTACTCAACTTTCTTATTATTCACAGGGCTTCCCTTCATCAGCTGTGCCCAGGTTCCCTAGCGGGGAAGACTATGTTTTTTCTGCATAATTAGTGCAATCATTTATTTTGTGCAATGCTTTACTGTTTAGAATTTCACATACATTCTCTTATATAACAGTAACAACACTGCGATGAGACCCTTACTACGATAGCTATTTTCTAACAGGATATGCATACACAGGAAGTGTATACTATCAAGATTTAAATATTTAAAAGGAGAGAGCTAGGAAAAACCCAATCTTATTGCACACTCTGCGCCTAATCAAGATCCTCTCTGATTTCAGCCCCACAGATAATTGGGTGTCTCTGTCTTTCCTAAGTTGAATGTTCTATAGCTGCAGAGATACTCCAGACATTTCTCCCCTCTGGCTTCAACGCGCTTTATTTATATTTGTAAAATCTCACAGCAGAAACGCCACTGTCCCCTCAGTCATATCAATCTCTGCTCTTTCTGTGTGCTACCACCGAACTGTACACAGGCTGGCTTGCTCAGTGTATGCCTGGTACTGGGCTAAGTGGCTTTACATGGAAGATTTCATTGAGTCTGTACAACTCTGATGTAGGTACCACGCACATCCAGATTTTACAGATGTGGAAACTGAGGATGTAAATAACTTAAGATCATACAGCTAAGAAAGTGGCAGGGCTGGAATTCAAACATCCATCTCTAAACAGGAAAGTTAAGAGAATAAATCCTAAGAATTCTTATCAGGAGAAATGTTTTCCCCTTTTTTCTTTTCTTCTTTCTTTTCTTTTTACTATATCTACTTGAAAAGACGGATGTTAGCTGAACCTATTGTGGTCATCAATTCACAATATATGTAAATCATGCTGTATGCCTTAAACTTATACAGTGACGTGTGTCAATTATTTCTCAATCAAACTAGAACCTCCCCCCACACACACACAAATATCTACCTGTCTGACCCCTGCGCCTGAGTTCTTCATCTCTATATGCCACTGCCTTTTTGTCCATACGTTGGCTTCCTCCAAAGGCTTCTAGACTGTTGAGGACAAGTGCCATGACTTCTATATTTTGCACCTAAGACTAGTGCCTGGAATATAAGTGGCCCTCAATAGATACTTGTTGAATGAATGGATGGATGAATGAATGAGTATGCTCTGGGGCATTTTCGAAAATGTAATTTTCAGGTATCAAGTGAATATCATTGCTTGAGATGCCCAGTGGGCTGAATAGTATGTTGGCTCAGAACTGTGAACTCTCCTCTAGTTTCCTGAGAGATGAGGTTGTTTTCGGCAGCCTGGGTGTGGTCGTTTCCCAACCCATGTCTTGTTTTTCTTCCTGTTGAGTGAGAACAGATATACTAGCCATGTGTATCATGAGGACATTATGAAAAAAACTGGGGGAATCCTAGGAATAAAAAGTTTTAAACAAACTAAAGGTATTTAAAATATGTATCACATGTGGATTGACTTGTAGAAAAGGAGTTTTCTTTTTTTTTTTTGCAAGCAGTCATGATCATAATAATTGGGGAATCATTACATACTTGAAAATATGGAAGAAAAACTGTGATGAATATCATGTTTTATATTTCTTTAAACTCTTCCTCATCTCAATTTTGCTTTTAAAATAACATGGTTTCAGTTGTTTTAGTCTGCTTGAACGAGCCAACTTTGGAGAAAAAAAGACTTCTCTCTTTTTCATGGTTCTTCTATTTGCAATCCCCGTCTCATGGTGCTGTCAGCTCCCTGGGTACCTGTAAAGGTTGTAATTATTTAATTATCTGGATAATTAGTTGGATTTTTGTCTTAACGTGTTTGCACCTTCTTGAAGAAAAAAATCATTCATTTCTTCCAAAATGGTTCAAAGAATAGGTCTGTAAGGTACAGAAATGAAAGGTAAAACTCTGAATGAATTTATGATATAATTCCAACTCAGAGAAATCAAGGAAAAACTTAATCCTCTAGCTTTCCTATAGATTTTCCTCCACTGGTGTTTGACTTCTTAGTTTCCAGAAAAGGTGCCTTCTGTGTGCAAACGGACTTCTGAGAGAATTATTTCCAGCCAGTTCTCAGGTTAATACTGAAGGCAAAGAAAATGCCTGGACTTACACATGTTGGCAACATAGCTTGGAACCAGATTTATGAGGCTCTTTCCCACCTTCTACAGCTTCCTAGTGAGCGGTTCTCAGCTGCATCTGAATCGCCCGGGGATCTTTAAACTTTCTGACCCCCAGCCCCGCGCTGAGATTCTGATTTAGTTTTACTAATGTGTGATGTGGGAATCAAATTTTTAAAAAGCTTCTCAGGGGATTATAGTGTAGAGCTGAGAGAGAGTCTCTATACAGGAATTTCATGATAACAGAAAAATTTGCCAATGAAAAAACAAAGGGGTGGGAGTTGTCACTGACTGTCACTATAGAAAAGCAACATATGAAACGAGAATCAAGTGGAGTCTCTGTCCCAGCCCACCTCATGCTGGTCGCCTAGGTCCCACCACTTAAAGTCTGGCCTGGGCCAGCAGCAATAGCATCATCCGGAAGTTTGCTAGAAATGCAAAATCTCAACCCCCATCCCGGATCTATCGAAGCAGAGTCTGCATTTCATCAAGAGCCCCAAGTGATTCATCCGCACCTTGAAGTTTGAGAAGCCTGACCTAGATAGCCATGGGCGGGGGGGAAGAACAGAACAACGACCGTGGAGAAACATCTATTGGGGTCATACAAAGGCCAAGTGAGGCTCTTGTCCAGCTGGCACATCTTCAGAATGACTCTTGATTCCCAATATTCTCCCAGAAAGTCTCCTGACCCCAGGGAACTTTCCATGAATGGTGCTTTCCCTGCCACCCAGCTTACTTTTCCTTAAAATGGTGGTTGCAACATGTTTGCTGGTGGTGATGGTGGTTGGTTCAATTAGGCTCACCCTCACCATACCTGATTTCTAACTGTGTATTATATATATTTATATAACTATTCTCTACCACCTTGACACTGGAACTGGCAATGCATTTTTTTCAAGAGGGAGGACATATAGGAAATAGAATGAACTCCCAAAGTGATGGGAGGTATTTATGAGTCCTATCTCCAGAGGAAATGGCTAACATGAAAAAGGGGTAAAATGTGCAACGTTTACCCTGGTAAACACTAATAATCCATGAATTGTTACAAAAGAAATGGGTACTTCTAAAGAAAGTATAAAACCTGCAAGGAAATTTAGAAATAACATATGCCCACCCTATACTTCATTTTACATCAACATTGATTCTAAGATACACCATAAATTCAAAAGTGGGGTGGGGCAGAAGAGAAAAACTCTAAATCATGTGTAGAAATTGATTAAAGGCCAAATTGATTAAAGGCAATATAGATTAAGGCAAACTGATTTATAAAATGCTGACTTTTTTTTAAAGTATGCTTTAGAATTAAGTACCAAGTAAGCTTTAAATGTGATGGATCACTGCTTAACTTATATCTGTTTTTCTTTACTAGGATCCAGTAGAAAGCTCACTCGGAATCATTTTAATAGGGTTAAAATCTTTTGGAAACTTTTTTTTCCAACTATTGCTTTGTTTATATTGACTTTGACTTCAGTATTTGGGGCTTTAGAGTGGTTCTAGAATAAAAGCCTGTGACCTTCAACTTCAAGTGAGATGGTATGACTTGAGTCAAACAGTACATGACAATTTGGGATGGAGGGAGGGACTCTATTCAGAGGCTGTAACTGTCCTGTCTTCATTTTTAAAAATTAATAGCTAATATTTATTGAGCCCTTATCACGTGCCAGCACAAGCATCTTCCTATTTAATCTTCACAGTAAACTAATGAGTTAGGTTCCATTACTTTTTTCACATTACAGCTGAATAAATGAGGCTCAGAGAGTTTAATTAAATCATCCAAATATGTTTTACGGGCTTCCCTGGTGGCGCAGTGGTTGAGAGTCCGCCTGCCGATGCAGGGGACATGGGTTCGTGCCCCGATCCGGGAAGATCCCACATGCCGCGGAGCGGCTGGGCCCGTGAGCCATGGCCGCTGAGCCTGCGCGTCCGGAGCCTGGGCTCCGCAACGGGAGAGGCCACAACAGTGAGAGGCCCGCGTACCGCAAAAAAAAAAAAACAAATAAAACAAAAAAACACAAATATGTTTTACAAGGCCGCAAGTGAAAACAAATACATAAACAAAAACCAGTCCTTTGTTTTCCAACTATCCTGTTAGTCTTGGTCACGTTCATGTGTACCTGGAATTCGCTAGCCAGTATTGCCAGCTTCTGAAGACAATCAAGATTCATTCCACTTTCCTAAACTAGGCAATGTCTATCTTTTCATAGCACTAGGTACTCTAAAGTAATGCTAATTAAAATTAAGCCAGAGGACTTCCCTGGTAGCGCAGTGGTTAAGAATCCGCCTGCCAATGCAGGGGACACGGGTTAGAGCCCTGGCCGGGGAAGATCCCACATGCCGTGGAGCAACTAAGTCCGTGTGCCACAAACTGAGCCTGCGCTCTAGAGCCCACGTGCAACAACTACTGAGCCCGCATGCCACAACTACTGAAGCCCATGTGCCTAGAGACCGTGCTCCGCAATAAGAGAAGCCACCGCGATGAGATGCCCACGCACCGCAACGAAGAGCAGCCCCCACTCACCGCAACTAGAGAAAAGCCGGCGCACAGCAACAAAGACCCAACACAGCCAAAAAAAAGAAAAAAAAAAAAATTGAGCCAGAAGTTCCAGCTTCAATAATGATAATGTGTCTTATTTCATAATTAAACTTAGGATGCAAACACTTGGACAGTTAACTCTTCCCAAATGTAAAATAGCAACTATTTTAAAACACTAATTTCTACACAGTTGGTCTTACTTTCGGAGGGCCCTGCATCAAGCCTAACTTTTGAGAAGATACATTTGACTTAGATTTCTAGAGACTGATTTTCTTCCCTCAACTCATAGGTCAGTTGATAAGGAAACAGTTAAATCAATTATAGTTTGACACTAAATTACCCTCATTATATTAAGAGAATAAAGTGATGGCATCAGCTTGTGTAGATAAAAGAGAGGATATACTGGGTCTAATTCTTGTGGACATCGGCCACAGAGTTGAGAGGAAGGAGTAGATCGCGTATCTGATTGACCCACACGGAGGCGGAAAGGAGTCTGATCCTCTAGGGAACATGATAAACCAGGACCAAGCCACGTAAGTGCTAAACTTGGCTTCTCACCTAAGAATAACAGCATTGTGGTGATGACGGCTGATGAAATAATTTAACAAAATAGAAGCACATATGAATCAGATATTTTCGTAGAGATCCCAGGATTTCTGCCTTGAAGGCAAAATGATCATGTTAGAGTGATTTCCCCCATGCTTTCTTTGTTTATGGCTTATTTACTTAAGCAAATAAATTAACTTTAGTAATTAACTTTAGGAAACTTCCAGTTTCCTTAGGAAATCACTAGAAACCTCATCTCCTCTAAAAAGCAAGCCCAGAGATTCAGATTTTATATCAAAATTTATTTTTAAACCTTAGGGATTGACATTATTATCTACCTTCTGAGCTGAGTCTAAAATTGTCAGGGAATGAGATTAAATATGGCTACTAAAGATAAAGTAACAGAACCATTGAACACACTTCATTCACGGACTTGGGATCACAAATAAGGCAGAACGGGAGGATACTCATTTTCCGCCTTGTTCTGTTTCCGTTTTTTGACAGTATTCAACTAGCTGAGCAGTTCTATTAATAGAGGAAAGTGGCACCATTTTAGGAAATACAATAGAAATGAACATAGGAACAATAGGGGACAGGTGCCAGATGGGGACACACAGGCAGTCCTGTGAGTCTTCCATCAAGTATTCATGAAGGTCTGGGATCCCAAGGACACATCTAACAGTAACAGTCACATGGTTCAGAGCCAATGAGGAGATGTCCTGGAGAAATGATTGTCTACAAAAAACTGCCAACACCTAAGTATAAATTAAATATAATCCCGACCAAGCGTTCCCTGTCATTAATCACTGCGCAACGTCACACCCATGACCTCCGGGCTGCATTAAACTCCAGGAAACATTCCTGGCTCTGTTCTAAAGGCCTTGTGTCTGGGCCAGGAGGCTGTGGGAAATAATCAGATTCTGCCCAGAGGACTGGAGCAGGTCTGCTAGTCCCCCACTGTGGCCCCTTCAAGCCCCAGGAAGTGAGACATTTCCATGAGTTCTGGATCTGAAGATGCCTAAGTCATTTGACTGGTTTGCCATGTCGTCTCCGTGCTCTCAGTTTACAAGGAGTGCACGAACACTGCAGAGAGAATTTCCTGAGAAAATGAGACTCAGGCATGCTGCTTGAAGAACCAGAGTCTAAAGAATCCCAAAATACCATGTAGAAATCATAATATTGGCTGCTTCTGGGCTAGTATTCCACCCACAGCTTTAGCTTACACCCAAAGTGTTTGCAGATCATTATCAGAGACCTTCAAGAATCCATAATCACACGTTGCGGCAGATCATAACATTTACTTCAGGGAAAAAATGGTGCCAAAGTCCCAGCCCAGAAGTTTTCTATCTCAAGCTCACTGAGTGACTTCATGTTCTCTTTTCTTTTAATTAAGCAAAAACAGACTCACAGATACGGAGAACAAACCAATGGTTACCAGTGGGGGAAGGAGTTGGGGGAGGGGAAAAATAGGTGAAGGGGCAAGAGGTACAAATTACTAGGTATAAAATAAATAGGCTACACGGATGTAATGTACAGCACAGGGAATATAGTCAATATTT